ACTCTGAGCTTGACTCCGAGTCTTACTCCAAGTTTGACTGCCTGTCTAATTTTGTCTAACTCTTATATACTATTTATTGTTACAACCTATTTACAAAATCCAACAGTAAGCACTTCCGATGTCCGCGTAACCTACATATAACTAGCAACGCGTTTTTGTAATATTAAAACAAAATAGTGATTCGAATTGTTATTACAGTTCAACCTCCCTCTTCAAAAGTTTTTCGTCCTCGAAAAACTATAAAAATTAAGAAAAATTAAAAAAAAATGAGTTCCATCTCTTCTTCCTTCGGCCCTTAAAAAATTTTGTCCTCAAAAGTGTCATTACTGTTTAGAATATGTTTACAAATAATGTGCTCTGAGAAAAAAAAATCTAATAATAATTTATTTTATCTCTACATGAATAAATCTTTAATAACATACATATATAAAAAAAATCAGCAGGTTGAATGCAAATTAGATGGTCGCTGATTATGTAAGGCATCACTGAAATTAAAATGTTATCCGGTAAAACAAAATATGCTTCGAACAACTTACCATAAATGATGCAAATAATTTTTTATTTTCAAAAACTTTTATATCAATAGAGCATAAAAATCATACTATGAAAAAGTCTTTAAAATCTGCAAAAAAAAAAAAAATATTAATGACGTAAAGAACCTTGCATTTGATAATTTAAATCATAAATAGTAATTAATGAAAATTTAAATTTACTTTGTATTGTTAATACTTGATATATTCGAAATTTGCTGGGTAATCAAAATTGAACAAATGTTGCTTTGAAATATGAGAATTCGCTTATGTCAACCAAACAAATGACTTGCGTGTTATTACTGTGTTACACCTGGTGAGTTTTTATTTCTTCCGGTATTTATAATTAAACAATTTTGGTGCTGTTCTGAATATAATTAAATCGGGAATCTTTCTCTTCTTTACATGTGTTTGCGACGATATTAAATTTCTGCTGCTATGGTTTTGTAAATGTGCATATTTCTCCTTTGTGTTCAAATTCATATTCTTCCGTTGAACATATCTGTAATAGTGGCTATATTTTCATTTATGACAATTTTCGTTGTGAAGGTAATTTTTTATCATATTAACTTGATATTCCCTGGTTTCTTGATTATTTTCTTCTATATTTCATCATTAATTTTTCTTCTTTTAATATTTCTTTTCTTTTCTTTTTCTTCTTATTTTAATGGGAATAGTTTTCATATATTCTGGTCCTTCATCATTAAGTATTCTTTTCTTCTTGTTTATCATTAATTTCGTTCATGTCGTAAACCTCATCTTGGGTTTGTTCCATATCTTGTGCCACATATATGTTCAGATCCTTTTCTTCTTTGTATGAATTTGTTCGTATGGTTGGTCCATATCTTCTGCTCATATAGATCCTTTTCTTTTCGTATGAATTTGTTCGTATGGTTTGTTCCATATCTTTGGCCACATATAGATCCTTTTCTTCTTCGTATGAATTTGCAGCGATTGTCGTCAACTCTCTATTTTGGTGTTGTGAGTCAAACTTTCTGTTTTGTATTCTTCTTGTTCTTCGAATTCTTCGGATTCTCCGGACTCTTCGGACTCTTCTTAGTTGTTATGAATGCCTTGTATGTATCATCATATGTTTTTATATATTTCAGATCTTTATTACTTTCGTAGTCCATTCTATCGTCATTTCCACCATTGTAGATTCTAAGTTTGTCATCTCTTTTCCTATTTGTAAGTTTTCGACATTGGTTAATGTGGTGTCCCTTTTTCTTGCAGTATCTGCAAGTGACGAATGGGTTGTATTTTTTATTAGATCTGATGTTTAAATATTTTTCTTCCTTTGCAGCGATGTGCATAGCACCCTTCCAATTTTCCGGTTTGGCTGCTTTAACTATATTTTCAAGTCAATGGTAGGCCTTTAACAAAAACTGCCAAGCCAAGTCACAATATGATGGATACGCTATTTCATTTTTTGTAAAATAGCATTCGTTGTTATTAACGTAAGCAAACTCTCAAGTTTCTCTGCCAAACTTCTCAATCGATTCCCCATTTTCTCTTGTGTGTTGTTGCTAGCTCGTGATGTAACTCAGCGATGGACCTTCTATCTTTAAAAACGTTTAATTAGAATAGGTTTGATATTATTCCATAACTGATAATCAGCCCGTCTAATGCAATCAAAAGCTGTTCCACTTAATTACAAATAACAATTTTGATATAAATTTGTATGTCTTAAAATCTACATCATCTAAAATTGAGTCTACAGTACTTAAAAATCTATAAAGGTCATCTGAATTGCCATTGAATTCGGGGTAGTGCTAAATTGCTAATTGAATTCTAAATTTATTTATTTCTATACTATTTATCTTTACCTTCTCTAGCTTCTTCAAAAATGGGTTCCATCTTGAGATATGATTAAATTTGATTTGCTTACTTGAATCCGATGATAGATAGTTAGTCAAGTTAGTCGTAGTCTTGTGTTCGTTCTAAAGTTCTTCGGTAGGCGCCCACCATCCCTAGTTTGTGCTTCGAATGATCGTTCGTGTTTGTCGAGTTGTGTGCAGCTTTGAACTCGATGTCTCCGTCAGAAAATTCTTCAGCGCTACGAGGGAAAAAACCGCTAAGCCACCATGAATTATCCTGGACTGTGGTTGATATATTGGGAGGTATGTTCTGATCACCAGTACGACCAGGAATTGTAATGATAGGCTGCTATATAAAAATAAGTCGGGTTTCTTTCTGACGATATAACTCTAGAACGCACGAATCGATGTCGACAATTTTGCATTCCTTGGAAAGGATTCGGGCTCCGCAAGGTTTATAGTATCGTGCCTTAATGCAAATTGCTGAAACTTCACGCACCGTAATTAATAATTCCAGTAATGACATTAGTGAGAATTATCAGAATATGCTTGGTTATGTCAATTCTTGCCGCAAAGATAATGATGTACACGTACTGAATTGCACACCATTCAATCAAAATTGCTGGCGATTTGGTGACATACCAATGATTCCGACTAGTCTTCCGTTGACTTCAAGATTGCCATTTCCAGTTCGCCTTGCGTTCGCAATGACAATTAACAAGTCACAAGGCCAATCGCTTAGTGTTTGCGGAATAAATTTAGAAAATCATTGTTTTTCACATGGGCAGTTTTACGTTGTCTGCACACGAGTTGAAAAAACCATCCGCTTTGTTTGTGTTAACGTCAGACCAAAAAAAAAAATGTGGTTTACCAAAGAGCATTGAAGTGCTCTGAAACGGATAATTTGCGGATTCACTTTCATTTACTTAGAGAAGTTCAACTAAAAAACACTTCATTTTTGTAAT